AAACCATCAGCGTGTTATCAACATTCTTCTCATCCTAAATCCAAACCACAGCACTAGGCCTGCTGCTAGGAAGAAAATTAACTCTATCCCAGCTGAAACCAGGACAGGCAGGCAGGGTACGGAGGAAGCCAGGGCTGCCCAGTGTAATGCCCAGCTCCCAAACCCAACGCAGCAGAGATCGGTGCCGCTCAGGCCCAGAGGGAGCTTTGTCTCTGCAAAGATCCCCCTGCTTGTCCTCTCCCCACCATCTTTACATTCCCGAGACCCTGCGGAGGTGCCTGTGGAGGAGCCGGGGGTAAACGGGTGAATGCAGGCGTCACCGCAGTGGCCCTGCGGTGCTTGCCGAAGCCTCCCAGTGCCAGGTCCATGCAGGGCTCTCCTGAGAAGGCGGCATTAGGAGATTTTTAAGGTTCTGAGGTAACACAAGGGTAGGAAGCAGTACCAAAACTGGATGCTGTCCCTAGCAAGTCACTAACAGTGTGAGGACCCGGAGTGGGAACTAGAAACACTGGAACAGAAGTGGCTGTCACCAGCACAGCCGAGGAGGTGATGGGTCCAACTCTCCCTCAGAGACCGACCTGGCAGTAGCCCACCTGCCCAGCCCTGCTAGCCAAAAGCCCTGTGGGAAACATACTGATTTCCACTCTCCTCCCCTGTGGGCTTGTCCTCTGCCCCAAGTTGTCCCCACACCAAGAAGAGTTTCCTGGTAAGGCAAAAAAACTCCCCCTAACAATTTGGACAATTACAGAGTAGGTTATAGTAATTTCACCTGTCAGGGCCTCAAGAGGACTCATAGGCCATCATGGTCCTGATGGGCCTCACCTGGGACCCCCACCCACAGCCCCTGCCCTCCACCCCAGCTCAGTCCAGGGCTGCCAGTCTCTGCCCCAGTGATGGAGTAGGAGTGCTGGTTTCTCGCTCAGCTACAGCCCTGCCTGTGCTTGCTTATGGGCTCTCTTGATCCAGACCCGGACCCATGGGTTGACTTCAGACCTTCCCAGTCATCACAAATGTGTCAGTGATCTGGACTCTGGGTTGCCCCCACCTCTCCCCCTGCCCTGCTCCCTGGCTGGGTGTGGTGGGACGAGCCCTGGCTGGTGGGGCAGTCAACCCTTTGCGGGGAGCAGCCAACCCTTTATATGCCCTGACATAATTTTAAAAAAAAAAAAAAAAATCTGAATTTTTGTGGCTTGAAGTGGGTCTGGGTAACTCAGGTTTCACGAAGTATGGTACATGTACACCCCATATGTCAAGCGCTTTGCTATACAATTTCATCTGCATGCAGTACTTGCAAAACATGTCTGTCAGTAAGATGGAGATGGATAAGGAAATAGCAAAAAAAACCCAAAGATGACATAACCATGAAGAAGTTATGTTTGTGGTTTCAGAGAAATTAACTCCAAGTATGTGATAAGTTATTATTAGAAAGGCAGCACAGCAGACATCACGGGAAGGCAGGTACAGAAATGACAGCGCTCCAAAGGTCATTCCATTCCTTATTAATTCACGTATTTTCTTAGTAACTAGATTTGTGGAACCGTGAGCCAACGCCAGGCTTGAGAAGGCCGGTGAGTATCTGTGTGAC